ACGCTCTTCCGATCTCCCCAAAACCCCAAAACCCCTCCAGGATTAATATTTAGAAATGTTATCAATGTAATTTTTAAAACGAAATAAATCACCAAAAGCATTCTTTATAATCTTTAAAAAACCTAGAATGCTTCAATTCATTATAATTAAATCCTACGAATACACAATCTAGTACCCTCATTGCACCATCAATTTCATCCAAAGGTACAGTTCTATGAGTCTCAAATGCTCTAGGATTCTCATCAGTAACCCAGCCAGTATCAGCTGCATTCATGTAAATATGTGAAAGGGAATAGTAACTCCCACATGTCCTTGTCATCATATTAAGTGCTGCCTTAGCCATATTTGTATGCGGATGAGTAGAATTCTTAAAGTTTTTATAGAATTAGCCCTCCATAGCTGAAACATTTACTATAAATCTAGGTCTCTAGGGGCTTCTCTCCATTAAAGACTTCAGCTGTGAGCAGATAATAAATGGGGCTGTTGCATTTATTAGGTACACTTCCATGAATTCTGATAGACTTACTTCATCCAATTCTCTAACCCAGGAATTCTTGTTTCTCAAGTCAACTAGATCGTTGTTCACATCATACAAAGCAGGGCCTTCAACTTGATCATCATCATTCTAGTCTAGCTTTAATTTACTCACTAGAGCAGACTTTGAAACCTAAAATGATCGAGAGTCTGTATTCATTCTCGTTTTAGTATTAATCTCATAGCATTTCAACTCCTCTACTTCATTTTTTACTTCACATGATTTTATATCTTGATTAATTGTTATTGTCTACTTGTCCATCAACCCATTTTGAATGAGCAAGTGATTCAATCTTTAATTCCTGAAGTCATTTGGTAATATGCCACTCATCTCATTGTCCGATTCAATGTCTATCTCGAATTCCTGTTTAACATAAGGCTCATTTAATGCTGGCTCTCTTCTTATAGTTTAGGCAGCATTATTTATGAGTATATCTAATCTGCTATATTTTGATTTGAAAAATTCGCAGAATTCATAGATCGATGGAACGTACTTGAAATCAAGTCCATATATCTCTAACCTGTCTTTCCATTAATTGAAATCAGATTCCTTCATTAATTTAATTGCTGCATCTTTAGGAAATCTAGTAGTAACTACAGTATGAGCTCCATTTCTAAGAAGTATCAAAACAATTTAATAACCTATCTTTATCCTACCGCCAGTAACCAATGCAATTTTACCTCTCAAATCACACTCTTAATTCCTTTTATAGAAATTTAGGTCACCACAGTCAACACATAATTGATCATAGAAAAAATGTAGTGTGTGATACATTTTCTAACATGTATAGCAACGCCTAGATATCTTGACCTATTTTCTTATTAACTCCTTTGCTAATTTCTGATCTTCATCTGATTAAGCGAATTGATGTAATACATTGGTATCAATTTAAGAGGGTTGCTATTCAATGTCGTATAAGGATTTTATCTATTCTTAACTAGGCTTTTCATATTTTATCTCATATGATTACTTTTCGAGATTTCGGTTTTATTAAGAATTGTATTAATATTTTAGCATTCCTGTAGCAGAACTTTCAACAGTTTCACTTTGTATAGCTAATTATTAACTTTTGCTCTCTAATTCCTGATCATTAACTATCATGTTTGGCTACTATTGGAGATATTCCTATTTCTCAAATTGCTGCTTGATGTGTAATTTTTCATTGTTCTTTTTTATTCTCATTTCACAACATAGATCACTTACTTAATCGACTAGAGATGGTTCATTCAAGGTTTTTTAAATAAAATCTGATTTATTAATTCCTACACCGATGATCATCCTAAGGGCTTTACGAAATGGGCCAAACTTTTCATGTTTAATAAGAAATTTTTAATCGGGATTAGATAGAGCTCTCAGAACTCTGATTGCTGAGTTTAAGTCATTTTCATTGAATCCACATGTTTCCTCATTCAGATACTCTTAGGTCTCAGTATCTAAGAAGTATTTAGAAAAATCAGTGGCATTTGGATGTCTATTTTTAATCACCAGCTCTTATTTCTCCTTATGCTATCGAATTTATTCTTCAACTTATCTCAATAGAAATTGAAATTTAATTTATTAAATTGAAATTTAGAACGGAAATTAATGAGGGGAAGAAGAAATTTTTAGTAGAATGGATAAAATGTATTATATATGTCTTCTCAGAACCCGATAATGTCAGATTCTGTTCTTCAGTAATTATCTTAATATATGATGATTTAGAATGGGATAGCATTCGATGGGCATTCTACCAAATATCAAGCAACAAGATTTCTTAACTCCTAAGCATCACAATTAAAGTCAAATGAATATTATGAATAACTTTGGATTGAACCAAACTCTCAATCCAACTTACCTTCCTTAGATTCAACCTTCTGTTCCTATCCCATTAGTAAATACGCCACAGAAAATACCTAATTCTAGAAATGCAGAGGAATATGAAAGATAGAGAAGGATAATTCTCTGAGAGCATGAAAGGTAATTCATTTACTTTCTTAATTTAACTTAGAGAAAGAAGAAGACTAGGTTTAAGTTAGCCTGAAAACTACGGAGGAAAAAATGATCCTCAAATTTAAGCTCAAATAACTCCACCAAGTGCTTAGAATTATTCTAAGATTGCTGGAAATTAAGGTTCACCTATAAATAATCCTGACAGCATGATGAAATAATTTGATTTTAATGGCAGTATGGTGAACAACATTCCTACTTTTGATTAATAATAAATGCTGATGCCTCCAAACTAAATGATTGCGTATCCTACTTACATGCCAACGAATATGGATTAGATGCTTCCACCACTTTATTAGAACTAAAATTTAGATCCAAACATGGGTTTGTACAATAATCAGCTGGTTTAGCAATATCCTAATTCGATATAATCTCAACCACAAGTAGTAATCTAAAGCAATCTCTAAAACTAAAGATTAAATAGATTCCATCCAAATATGAACCAAATTTAATAACATTCTCAGCAGATGCTTTATGACTATTATTAAAAGAATGTAAATTCCTAGCTCTTTAATCAGAGATCAAGATCTCATTAACAGATCGATCCTAAAACTCTGGAAATGAAACAATAGTATGCAAAAATACTCGAGTTTTAAGTTAAAGAGCATGAAGTAATGAAAGCAAGGAAAAGATCTGAGGAGAAATCGCTCTCCCCTCAGTAGCAAACATTTTTTGATAAATTTGGATAAGCAGATCTGAAAATTGTCTAATATTAAAATTAGGAAAAGCAGAGAATCCTGAAAGAATAATTGAAGCAATAGATGGAGGAGAATCAATGAAGGAGAGATATGTCACTGCAAGAAAGAGATAAATTTGATCTCTCGTTGAATAGAGTGTATGAAAATAGTTAAAAGTACATAAATCCTCATGCTATTAATACTTCAAATATTGTTGAGAGCATTCCTATTCCATACTCACACAGAGTAAGATATTCATAATAATTAATATTTTAGCAATATCCTCCAGAAGACTATAAAGATTAGTTGCTGCAATAGATAGAAGAAAAGAGAAAAATTAAAGTAGCTTCAAAATAAAAGAAATTAGAGGATGAGATGAAGGATGAATTAAGGGTTAAAAGGGAACTCTAAGAACTTAATATGAAATACTAAATCGAAGTAGGCATCATTAAACCACCTGAAAACTAATAATAGCAGCAGTAGCAATATAATATGGATCAAGATAGTCCTTCTAATGAAATTATAGAGAATCAAAACTTGGTGAAGCAAGATATGCAAAATAGGAATCTTAATGCTTACTAAAAGTAAACAGAATCACCAATAAGGTCTGCTAATAACATGTAATAATAAATGATGGAGATGAATGAATATGCTGACTTTAACTAATACTAAGTAGTCTAAGACACCTAATAACTAGATCCTATTAAAAAATAGCTTCAAGTTTAGTTAAATAATTTTTAAAAAGACATATAGAAACTTTAAAAACAACAAAAGGAAATGTTATAAAACTACAAAAAAGAAGTAGAACTCATTTAAGAAAAGAAAGAATCTGTAATTAAAGATGTAAAGAATACTCAAGAAACTGAAATGAAAAGATAAATAGATTAACTGCAAAAAGCATTAAAAGATGTTTAAAAGAAGAGCAGTAGCTTTGTTAAAAGTCAGCACGAAAAAAGTAAAGGATCAATGATTGAGCAATCAGAGTTGCCTAGCAATAAATACCAGGAGAATTAAAATAAAAGAAAAAGAAGTTAGAGTCCTCCGATTAGCGTAAAGAATAATAATCATAAAAATAAAAAGAAAAAGATAAATATAAAGAATGAATAAAAGCACAGTATCAATGAGGATAATAAAAATAAGAGCTAGGATATGGAGGAAGAAAATGAAAAAACCTTACAAAATCTTTAAAATATATATAGTAATTAAGGACAAATAATTATCACTCCAATAGCAGGAGGCAAGTCGAGATAAAATAACTAGAACCAACAATCAAGTCTCTCATCAAAGAAAGAAGGAAATGGGAATGTTCTTTCTCTGGCATAAATGATGTAAGGAAAGCCATATTAAGATGTACCTCTATCTACCTTAAATGAAATGGAACAATTAGTAACTCCAAGAGGCTTATCAATGAGAGCAAAAATGAAAAAATTAGAAGAATAAAAGCAAAGAGAGCCTGTTCAAATTCCACAACCAATCATCGATACTTAAAAAGATCCTGACTAAAGGAAAATAAAACCTTAAGCACCACCAAAGAAGAAGATCTAAAGCTAAATTAACCCAGTAATGATTCCAACAAATGAGGAAAATGAAAACCTCTCAATTACAAATCTTTTGAAGAAAATGAAATCATTGGATAAAAGGGATAAATCACCTGAGGATTTAAGATAAGCATAGACTCCATCAATATTAAAAAAGTAGAGTAGTCTGCTTAGGAGATAATCTGGAGTATAGAGTCAAAAGAGCGTCAGGATCAATGATGCTCATAATTTCTAAAAGGATCCTCTTCAAATACAAGCAGATGAGTAATTCCTAAAAGCAATGCAGAATGAATTCTTTATGGGATAGGAGGTACCAACGTTGGCTGACGATGCTTAGAGTGAATACATAGACTAAACAAGACTAATTGAAAAGCAATATTATGAACAAGTTTTAAAGCCAGATAAAGTTAAATAAAATATTGAGTCTCATTAAGTTTAGGATAAAGAAATGCCAGGAACTATTGGAGGAATAAAAATCAATGCTAATCCAGAAATGGACGAAAATCAAATATAAGAATTCATCCAATTACCTGGAGAAAATGATGAGCAAGATCCAGCAGAAATGTCAAGATTTACAAATTTTCTATTTCAAAAGAACCTTGTTAACCAATAAGAAATTGAAGATCATTAGGTAATACAAAAGTAACTTGAAGAAGAAAAATAATAAGAGATTGAGCTGACTATGAAATACATGAAATCAGACTAGCCATAATATTAACTGAAGGAAAAAAACTATAATGAAATTGGCTATAAGGAGATGGTCAATCATGATCCAAAAGAAATGAGTCATCTATTAAATGATATAAAAAGAATTGTAAATGAAAATAGCAAAATCTCTGAGGATTTCTTTTCACAAAACAAAGAAAGTAGTAATCAAGGTTATATTCAATTTAACAAAACTTTTTAAAGGAATTTGCAAAAAGTAGAGGATATATTTGAAATTGAAAAAAAGTAAAGAATAGCACCAATCAAGACTATGGTTAACATTAGCATGCTTGAGGATGAGGAGTCTAAGGATTTTTAGTTGGCAATACCTCCAAAATTTAGTGATAGAGATAATGAAAATCATGCTATGTTTAACTATCAAAATATATCTAGAAATTAGTAAGAAATGGGGCAAGGATCTAAGTATTTAACCAAGAGTGAAGATGTTATGTTTTCATATGAAAATAAGATGCCAATTATGCGAATGGAAAACGAAGATGAAAATTAGACTCCTTCCGACATGAGGCAAAGTCATCAAGATTTTCAAGATAACAATGATGAATAAATACTTAATCTGTAACCATAGTAATTCCACCTAATAAACTATCTAATGTCACAAAAACCATCATCATCACCAGGCACTCCCAAAGATTCCTAGTAAATACATGAATATTTATCTGCAAGAAGATTAATAAATGAGCAGACTTAATTTACTCATCTAAATGAACTTTCCTAATAAACTCCAAAGCACTTTGATTAAGTTATTAAGAACTAGATCATGCCAATGGTTCATGCAACTAATCAGATTTAACAGATACTTAAACAACCTTAAGTTTTGACTAGTTATCGATAGAATATTCCTCCTGTTAACAGAGACTCAAATATGCATTCTAATAAGGATTTGAGATAATCTGCACAATAATTTAGTCATAATCTTCAAATGCCAGCAGTTACTTAGTATAATCCTTTGCAAATTCAACGCAAAAAAACCTAACCAGAAGATAAATAAAATAGAAAGCCTCCATTACCAACTTAATAGCAGAGACTGAGACATAGTGAGCCTCAAAATAATAACAATTTGAATTAGTAATAATAGTACCAATTCTAGACAATGAATAATTAGTATGAGCATCATTTAACACCTTAAAAGCAAAATGTTTCTTCATCAAACTAATTAATCCAACAATCATAACAAAATCAAGTTCCTAGCCAAATAAACTAGAAATAGCTTAGTTATATTTAGTAATATCAATAACCTCAACAAATAGATATTCATCATAGCCAAGAGTCTTTAACGAATGTCTTCACAGAAAATTCTTAAATTAATGAATAAAAGATTCCTGTCTAAATTTATAATCAATATTTCAAAGAAGAAGTTCCAGTAAATAAAATTTACGATAGAAATGATCCTTTTTTAATAAACATAAATTTAAGGTAAAAACTTGTTGAGACTAACTAAATGATTCATGTTGACAATCAGAATTTGTTAGATAAAATTAAAAAACTTGGAAAATCAATTAAGCCTGTCACTTATGGTTATCCCTATATTGATTTAACCAAGACTGAAGTTTTTAATGAATAAGAACATAATGAAGCTAAATTCAGATCCGAAGTTTATTCACAGCATCTTAAAAATGAAATGGACAAAAATTTTCCTGGATACTAACAACAGTAAAATACTGAAGAATAAAAGAATGAAGATGATGTTAATAACAATCCTGTAGTTCGCTATCTTAATTATAACTTTAACGGAGAAAGGGGAATAGACTTAAAACAGAAGAAAATGAGTGATAAGTAAAAATTAGAAGGATCAAAAGTGATCAGGCTTTTTAAATATGCTTAGACATTTAATAGTTCACTAGTAAATTCTATAGTCTAAGATAAAGTTAAGGAAGATCTTATTAACTTAGGTTAAATATAAGCAAAATAAGCACAAGCTATGAATTACTATGATTCTACTAAGCAGATAAATAAATAACAAGATTTTTTGGAATATATTAAAGAGGAAGTTCATGAAGTCACATAATCAGAACCAAAGTATAATTAAGATTTTTCAGATTAGTTGGAATAGTCATAGAAATTTTCTAAATAGGTCACAAATAATTAATTCTAAAGAGATTATACTCATCATGATTTGAATCAGCCAATAATAGAAGAAAATTCATAGCAGGTCTCAGCAGAACCAATGGAAAGGTAAAATTATTTAAATAGCAAAAGCAGTCCTTAAACAAGATAACTAACAATGATGGAATACGACTAGCTTAAAAATAGAGATTAGTAAGTTCTTCATCTTTAGCACAGATAAATGTCTTCAATAAATCCGCAAATTCATTAACTGCAATCATAAAATTCTTTTTCAGATAATTAGTTTTACAATGCTCCAGAGCCAAAGAAATTACAAATGAGCAATATAGCTAATAAAAATATCAATCTAATCAATTAAAATAGGAATATAAATAGTATGGATTCATTTTTCTCAGAGGAAAATATCAGATTCTCTAAGAATAGGTAATTATCCAAATTTGCAGTTGAAGAATAACCCCTTATTAAGGGGCACACTGCCATTCCAAATGATCATGTTGAAAATTATAATTTTGGTGAAATTCAAAGCTAAGGGGAATTTGATGATTTTAATTTGGGAGGAAATCAATCAGCTATTGGATAATCTCAAATTAATTAAAGAAGAGTATAAACTTCAGTAGATGTTCAAGAAGGAGATGAAATGGCTGATAATGACTACTATGTATAAAATTAGAGTGATTTTGTAATGATCTGATAATCCCCCGAAATAAACAATCCTTGAATTAATTGTTATTTAAATACTTAATTTCATGACTAATATTTAATTCAAATATCCATTATTGGGGTTTTGGGGTTTTGGGGTTTTGGGG